AGACATGGGTTCTCTGTGTAGCCCTGGCTGTCCTGGAACTCACTCTGTAGACCAGGCTGGCCTCGAACTCACAGAGATCCACCTGCCTCTGCCTCCTGAGTGCTGAGATTAGAGGTGTGCACCACCACCTGGTGACTGAGTTTCTCAGGGGCAGTTTTTCTTTGTTTCTCTAGCACGGCAGAGGGTCCCTAAGTAAGAGATGAACTGAAATGAGATCCTAGAAACTGAATGATGAGCCGTGCAGGAGCGGAGGCCAGCACCTGAGCTGGTTCCACTTGCAGCCAGCTGGGTGGGCTGTGACAGGCTGTAAGTCATGTGACCGGCTGTAAGCCATGTGACCTGGCAGCCCCTCATCTGCCGCCTGTCCTTACTTCTGTGAAGACCAAGGCAGGAGGGGTCATGAAGGAAGCTGGGAACAGCTACGTCAGTGAAAAGTAATAGCCACAGCTAAACAGCCTCGTCGCTCTGCCAGGCATCAAAGCAGCAGTCCTCTTTTGTTGTTTAGTAATCTAAAAATACCTCTAAGTTGGAGAAGAGGGGAACCTGTTAACAAATGTGCAGTTCGTTACCATCTCGTGTGACAACCTCTCACAATGTGGTGTGAAAATGAGTGTCACTCACAGATCTTGCCACTGTGGCTTCACATCTGTGTTCAGAGCTGCAGGGTCTCTGCTCACTGTTTACTGTGGCAGAGTGTTCGTCTCCCTTTGTAGCAAGATCACAGGGATGGGAAAGAGTTGCTGGCTGAGGTCCAATCCACTCTGGGGTTGGCAGCTTGCAGGGGAAAGGGAGCAGGGGGAGGCAGAAGCCCAAGCAACATGCCAGATGCCCGCAGTGTTTATACAAGAAAACTCCACACAGTGCCCAGCCCCCCAAGGGGCTCCTGAGAGCCCATCTTCCTGAATGACAGGGAAACATGCAGAGAATCCGGAGATGTGTGGACTGAGAAGTACACCCGTACCAAATGCTTGGATCAGTACCAGTAAGGGAGTTCCCAATATGGTGTCTGGATTTTGTGATTTATGGTAAGACAAAGTCAGGCTCCAACGTCATGCTGAGTTCCTGGACGGTGCCCAGGGAACACTGCTCTCCTGATCTCCCACAGCAGGCCTCTTCAGCGGCCTGGGGGCTCCTGTCTGCAATGGTACTATGTCTCCTAACATAAGGGTACCAGACGGCCATGACAGAGCTGGTGTCCAGCGCAGTTAACCCTGAGCAGAGGGGAAAGCAACAGAGAATCCCAAGAGCTGGGATCTGAGATTTGTCTCACTGCGACTGCATCCTTCTAGGAACTGTCTGTCATGCCAACTGTGAGCTGTTTGCGAAGAAGCCTGAAAAGGCTTGAAATGATCACAGATTCCTAAAATGCCAAATGAGCAGTTTCTAATTCTTTGGCTTCTAACCAATGTATCTTGAATAAAAATAGGAAGAATCTTGAACTAGATTGGACTTTGTTGTTGTTTTCTGTCAGAAACTGACAAAGTGTGGTCAGAACAATGATGGCAACTCCATGTCCTTGGGTGTCGTCGCATGTGTTTCTAACAACAGCAACGAGCACTCACACAGCATTTCAGGCTCAGGTTCTGCGCTAAACAGTCCCCACGAGGCGTCTAGATGACGCCTTACAATACCCCATTGAGTAGGCCTTACCGTTATGACCTCCATTTTACAGATGAGGATACTGAGACACAGAGAATTTAAAGACCTACTCAAAGTCACAGAAATGGGAAGAGAAGGCAGTCAGGGCTGCAGGCTCTGGCCTCCGGGGTCAGGCAGGCATGTGTGGCCCTCAGTCAGAGTGAGGACTGCTCACCTCCTGAGGAGGGATATCGAAGGAGATGGTTCTCATGTCCACCTTGATGAAGCTGTCGGTGCATGGCAGGATAAAAAATAAACCTGTAACACACACACGGGATCAGAGAGGCCCCATTAGGTTCAGCTTATTCTTGATCAGTTCCAATGGAATCAGTCCCGACTGCTGTTTCTAACCCCACGCTCACTTCTCATGCTAAGAACCTTAGTTTCTCTAAGATCCATTTTCCTGAGCTGCAAGTCCTGAGCGAGGTAGGCCTCTCGGGGACTCACCCTGCCCCTCTCGGGACTCACCCTGCCCCTCCGGTCTCCGCCCTCTCCTCAGGCCCTGTATTCTCCCTGGAGGCTGGTCCTACAGCACCTCCGCTCTGCTCTTCTCTCCCTACATGGCTCTGATATGTTGTTATTTCCTCTCCGCGTTAGTACTGCTTCACGCCTCAGCATTCAGAGAGGCCAGTCATAGCTGTGCATGCAGATATTTATAGCACTTGGAAGGCTGAGGCAGGAGGACTGCTGAGAGTTTGAAGCCAGCGTAGGGTACACAGCGAGTTTCAGGTCAGCCTGTGAGAGGGCCTCCAGAAGAAAAGAAAAACCAGCCAGAGGGTCTGGGACGGCTCAGGGGTTACGAGGCTCTTCCCGAGTGACCCGGGTACAGTTCCCAGCACCCACACAGACAGCTCACAACTGCCTGTAATTCCAGATCCAAGGGCTCCCACTCTCTTCCAGATTCTGAAGGCATCTGCACTCACGTGAACATATCCACAGATAAACACATAATTTTATTTATTTATTTGTTTGTTTATTTATTTTTGGGTTTTCAAGACAGGGTTTCCCTGTGTAGCCTTGGCTGTCCTGGAACTCACTCTATAGACCAGGCTGACCTCGAACTCAGAGATCCACCTGCCTCTGTCTCCCAAGTGCGGGAATTAAAGGTGTGTGCCACCACTCTTGGCTAACATAGAATTTTAAAATAATAAAAATAAATATTTAAAACAACAAAACAAACAAAACCTATAGGAAAGCTTTGCCTCGTCTGTTACTTCAGGTCGGCCGCCCTTCTCTGGGTCTTCCGTGTGCTCTTTCAGGGTTCTGTGGCTACTGTATCATAACACTAAATGCAGGGTGTGGCTATCTGATTCTTCCTTGGTATCTGGCTGTTGGACAGCAAGCCCTTTGATAAGGGGACCATGTTCTGTTCTCCTGGGAATTCCCACAGCCTAGCTGGGCGTGGGGTGGGGCACATTCCTGTGAGCCCAGCATCTATCTAACTGAAGTCTTTCCTGGGTTGGGATCCTCGTGCTCAGCCTCCCACAGCTTTGGCCAAGGCCAGCGATAACCTAATAGCCCTAAGCAGACAGTAACAGGAAGGGTGGGACCGCACCCACACTGGCCAGAGTCTCTGGAAGCTACTGCCATACAGCTTCTGCTCCAAGCAGAGGCCTCGCTGGGGACTCACATCAGTAAGACATTCCAGTCTGGCAGAGCAGAGAGAGGCTCAGTAGTTAAGAGCACCTGATGGTCTTCCAGAGGACCAGAGCTCGATTCCCAGCACCCACACTGTAACTCCAGCTACAGGGGGATCCCATACCTCTGGCTTCTGTGGGCACCAGCACTCATGTGCACATTACCCCCCCCCCAACACACACACATACAAATGAAAAAAAAGAACAAAAAAATCACAACACTTTAGTTTCCAGATGGAAACCTAGTACTGACCAGGCCCTCTGGCGCCTCCCTGCAAAATGCGACCCAGTCTGAAGATGATGACTCTTTCATACTCCTTTACAATCTGGAATAAAAACAGGAATGAAAAGTCACCAAGATGAGCACACATTTTTATGAACAGAGCTTCTTAAGAATGTCTCTGCCCTGACCAGGTTCAGAGCATCTGTCGTTCTCTCCATTTCCTGACAGTGTCTATAAACACTGATCTGGTGTTTACTCTTTCCTAGCACAGTGTTTATTTATTATACACACACTTCTATACTTCTCATACTCCAGGCCAATATGGTATCCCTCTATCTGTCCCATAGATCAAGTGGAGGTAGGAGTTGACCCTGTTCCAGAAATGAAAGAAATGCTCTTTACCTTTATGCAGATCCATATTGATATTGGGAAGGTAATAACTACGAACAATAAGGAGAAAGCCACCAAAATCCATCCACAGGGTCCCAGTTCTGCCTTGGAGTTATCTGTTGGAAACAAAACCATACAGCCTGTTATGGGCACCGTCTCGCCACCCCACCTCTCCGGAACAGCTCTGGGATCGCCCTTTTGCTGGCTGCTTTGCCTGAGTTTCCACATCTAATTCTCACGCAGCCCTGAAACACATGTACCTACGCATTTCTCATATTACCCCTCAAACGCTAATCTAATACCACTTATTTATTTTGCCTCATGGTGTGGAATAACAAAAATGAAGATTATTCAGCTTCTAACAAGATAGATCCATGTATAGTGAGGAATAAAGACTGTTGTTGGGGCTGGAGAGATGGCTCAATGGTTAAGAGCACTGACTGCTCTTCCAGAGGACCGGGGTTTAATTCCCAGCACCCACATGGCAATTACAACTGTCTGTAACTCCAAGATCTGACGCCCTCACACAGACATATATGCAAGCAAGACACCAATGCACATTAAATAAGTAAATACATTAATTAATTAATTAAAGACTGTTGTTGATTGGTCTTTGGTCTTTTAGGGGGCCCACCACCCAGCTCCCAAATAAATCACACATGGAGGCCTATTCTTAATTATAATTGTCCGGTCTTAGCTTGGCTTGTTGCTAGCTAGCTTTACTTAAATTATCCTGTCTAACTTTGGGCTTTTACTTTTCTCTATTTCTGTATACCTTTCATTATTTCTTACTCAGTGGCTTGCTGTGTCGCTGAGTGGCTGGCCCTTGATGTCTTCCTCCTTCTCTGGCTACTTCTTCCTCTCCTCTCAGATTTCTCCTTCTATATATTCTGCCTGCCAGCCCCACCCATCCTTTTTCCTGCCTTGCTATTGGCCATTCAGTTCTTTATTAGACCATCAAGTGTTTTAGACAGGCACAGTACACAGCTTCACAGAATTAAACAAATGCAACATAAACAAAAGTAACGCACCTTAAAATAATATTCCCCAACAAAAGACAGCTATAAACCAGGTGGGAAACAGAGAAGCAGTGTCTGCTCGGAACGTTTAGAAATGTGGAGTGGGGAGAGTGACCCACAAGGGGATGGAGTGGAGCGGGATGGGTAGATGACGCCACGGTCAGCTTCCTGATAGCAAGAAAAATGCCAACAAAAAGGCGGAGAGAGAAACAAGTGGGTATTCTAGTTCATGGGGCAGCATGACTCAAGACAAAGCCATGATACAGGCACATAATCCCATTGCAGTGTTTACACGAACAAATTACTTTCGCACACTGTTGCCCCTGGCTTATGAGCTGCCTCCCATTTCCTGATTAGCAAAGGGGCTGTTTCTGGTTTCTTGCTATTAAAAACAATGCTGTGACGAACATCACTGTACTTGGCCTCCTCCTCCTTCTGCATGTAAATAGTGTTTTTGTCTGATTACAAATCTAATACATATACACCCGCTGCAAACCTCAGAAACAGTAACTATTTCAACACACTCTTCCAACCTCTTTCCTGGTTCATACTATATTTTAAAATTCAAATAAATAAAGTTAGTAACACATTTCCCCTCTATTATTCTTTTAAATCTTTTATTAGTCTCTATAGGCATGAATTTGTGCTTTTCCTGTTTTTTACTTGACAAAAAGAAACAAAGGTTCACAAAAGTTCACAAGAGGCCAGTGAGATGGCTCAGCAGGTAAAGGTGCTTGCTGCCAAAATGGAGAAACTTGGGTTCGATCCCTGGAACCCACCTGGTAGAAGAGGACTGATTCCTGCAAGCTGCGCTCCGACCACCACACCCATACTCTCACATGGCACTGTGGCATGTGTGCCATGGTGCGCATGTGCTATGGCATGCATGCACACGCACACAAACACATTTTTAAAAAGTCAGAGAGTTCTACAAGTGTGTACAAACAAGGGCAGCCTCTGCTCCACCCCACCTCCCTATTTCTGCTTCCTCATAAACAGCAGACCCCCGGCTGCCCTTGCCGGTGTCTCCCCCAGGTTCTAATAGCCTGCCCGCTTGGACTCCCCTTGTCTTTTCGGTTCCAAGCAGCATCGGTGACTTCTCACCATGGAAGAGAATTTGGTTCTTCTTTATCTCTTCCTCTACCACAAAGAAGCAAAACTGTACTGTAATTTTGGTTAAATTAATAACCATCACTATGTCAGTCAAAGCTAAGCCATGTACTAAAGTACAACTAGCTCTCCTTGCTTTCCTTTCTTTTTATAATTTTTTTATCGGTGTTTTTGCCTGTGTGTATGTCTGTGTGACGGTGTTGGATCCTGGAGTTACAGACAGTTGTGAGCTGCCATTTGGGTGCTGGGAATTGAACCCCAGTCCTCTGGAAGAGCAGTCAGTGCTCTTAACCACTGAGCCATCTCTCCAGCCCCCTAGCTTTCCTTTCTAATACTATTTTTTTCTATTTTCTTTTTTCACTTTGCCTAGTCTGATATAGTTCCTGATGATCCATCCTTAATTCTTAATTCACAGTCTAAATCTCCTTTCAAAACAGTTGAGTGTTGTATGTCGGGTGTAGGTTCATGTGGGTTTGTGGAATCAAAACACAGGGACATCTTAAGGATAAAATTAGCCTTTCCAGCTGCAGGGGGACCAGTCTCTCCAGACTGACTCCCTCGTAGCTTAGCAAAGGGCTTTTTAAAAACTGTTCTCCAATTTATACCTTTTAGCAATTTGGTTAATTTCCGTATCCCAAAACCTCTTATCTAAGGTCCCCAAAGGGACCCTGCCAAATTCAATGTCTCATTTAAGGAATACTTGCCCAGGTTGTCCCCCAACCAAGTCTGCACAGGCTTTGCACCTTTAGAATAAATTCTCAGGCAAGACTCACCTAGAAGGTACCGGGAGACCAAAGGTAGCACTCACAAAAGGCAGATTAGGGCTAGTGCTGACAGGTGAAGGAGGCATGCCAGGCAGAGTTACTGCTCAGAAGGAAGGGGAGACGCAGAAGGCTCCCACAGGGGACATGGGGGGGGGGGGCAATGCTGTGGGATGGTCTGTATGTCAAATTACTCTGATTGGTCAATAAATAAAACACTGATTGGCCAGTGGCTAGGCAGGAAGTATAGGCGGGACTAACAGAGGAGAAAAGAAAGGACAGGAAGGCGGAAGGAGTCATTGCCAGCCGCCACCATGACAAGCCACATGTGAAGATGCCGGTAAGCCACAAGCCACGTGGCAAGGTATAGATTTATGGAAATGGATTAATTTAAGCTATAAGAACAGTTAGCAAGAAGCCTGCCACGGCCATACAGTTTGTAAGCAATATAAGTCTGTGTTTACTTGGTCGGGTCTGAGCGGCTGTGGGACTGGCGGGTGACAGAGATTTGTCCTGACTGTGGGCAAGGCAGGAAAACTCTAGCTACAGAGAAAGGTGTTGGCAGCTAGACCACGTGCTCTGAAACACAGGAGGGGGAGCGGAAATACAGTGAGTGGTCCAGTTATGTTCGTGATGTCTCCTCTGTGTCATGGGGTCAGGAAGCTGTCCTTGGACACACAAAGTAATCTAAGCTCACCTGGCACTTGTAGGGTCCACTTGAGGCAGGGAAGTGCTGTGCTGCTTGTGGAGAGATTCTAGCAAGTGTAACACAAACGGTGACAAAGTACTTGGAATCCCACTTTATAAATGAAGGAGCAGAAGCAGCATGCCTTTCCCTAGGACATGATGGACACTTTCCTACAAGCCGGGCACTGTGTTAGGAAAACTTTAAAAATTTGATGGGTACTACCAATATTTAGAACCATCCAGTGAAGGTTTTGTTTTGTTTTTTTAAATAGAGTCTTGCTATGTAGCTCAGGCTAGCCTGAACTCACAATCCTCCTGTCTCAGCCTTCTGTGTGCTGGGATTAGAGGAATGTCCACCATGTCATGTTAATTCCATTTTATGAATGAAGTAACAGGAGCATGACTTTCCCCAGGTCTCGCCAGGAGCGACAGGGACGACAGGGACGACAGGGATTCAAAGGTCATGCTCTACGTCTCTTTGACCCCTCACCATTAAATGTAAAGGGTTGTCATTAAAGAAGTTTTCATGTTTGGAGTACCTTCCTAACCTAGTATCCAACCAGGAAACATGGCAGGTAGGCAGTGTTGAGGAGGAAATCTGGTATTCTCACAGAGGAAGCTCTCTTCACTCTAGGTAGACATCTTAATTTTAGCAGAAAAGCTCCAAGGTTCAGAGCCCCAGTGAGGTCTAGATTCTATGTGAACTAAATTCCCAAAGAGGAACAGACTGGCTGCCAATGTTTATCTGATGACATTTAGTGCTCTCTAAAATAGTGCCTAAGTCTCCCAGGCTCCGGGCAAAGTGCAGAGCTCCTGATCATATGATCCCACAAATGTACTAAAAGCACTTCATTTCTATATGGTGCTCGGGACCCAAACCAGGGTCTTGAATACACTAGGTAAGAGTGTTCCCATGAGCTACAAACACAGTCCTTGCTCATTTTGATACTATCAAGATGTAGCACAGTATCCCGGGGGAAAAAAAAAAAAGAAAGAAAGAAAGGACTAAAGGACTGATGGGAAGTAGTTTCTTCACTATAAAATGACAGTGAGTATTATATGGCCTTTTAGAACTGCAATAGTGCTCAATAAATACAAACAAGAGGTTCATAGGACCCTTCTACTATATTCAGGGAAAAGAATATTCCACCCAAATTGCCAGGATAAAAAAAATGGGAAAATAGCTAGTTACTTGCTCTTTTTGGAAAAAAAATCCTCTTAAAAATGAGTTTATTTACCACTTTCTTTATGCTATCCCCAGCCAACCTAGGCTCCAACATTCATAGATCCGAAGAAAGTACATTTTCAAAGATGTCCCCATATGTTCAGGTCAGGAAGCTTGGCCCTGTTACCCAGATAAAAACATGACATCAAAGATGAGGACCAGGGAGCTGGTGGGTAGTCTAAAAACTGGACATAGTCTTGTCCGTATCAGATGCCTGGCTAGAAATATTAAAGCAGCCACGATTGCTGGGTAAACAAGAAAAAGCAATTCTCAGTTACTCACCGATATTTCATGAGCCTCATTTCCTCATAGTT